CCTCACGCGTAAAAATGCGCCCTTTGTTTGGACTGAACATCACAGAAACGCGGTACGACAATTGAAACAGCGTTTAGCAGAATTTACGATATTACAAGTGCCAGACTCTAATAAGCCGTTTACACTCTATACAGACGCGTCGGGTTATGCTATTGGTGCAGTACTTGAACAAGAGGAAAGGCCTGTCGGTTTCCTGAGTCAGGTTATGACTCCCGCCCAGCAGCGATATTCGATATACGATCAAGAATTATTGGCCCTTATAACGGCACTGGACAAGTGGCAGCACCTACTAAGACTCGCAGAGGTTACCGCTTATACTGATCATCAGGCGCTTACCTTTCTTCAACGTATTAATTCGCAGAAACCGTTGCGGGGTCGAACAGCGCGATGGTTGGATTTCCTGGCGGAGTTCCCCAAACTTAAGATCACCTATTTACAAGGCGCAAGAAATAAGGTCGCGGATGCGATGTCTAGACATCCCCAGTATGTAAATAGCGAAGCACTAAAACCTGCTCAGCTCTTAGCTTCCCTTATCCAACAGCAGGAGGGAGAGGGCGTGCATCCCAGATATTCTACGCGGTTAGCAACTGGGTCGGTACCGCCTACAGATTTTCGGGCGATGGTGGGGCGGAGGTCGGCCTCAAGCAGTCAGAGAAGAGATGGAACGGAGTCTCATATTTCTTCGCGGGTTCCGGCAGAGAGTATTGATGATTCGGTACAGGATGCATCCAGTTCGAACGATCCAATAAGTGACACTTCCAATCCGGCAGTTCAGTTCTCAGAGACTCAGACGACCTCATTCCCGAGTGCCGAGCTGAGGGCAGAAACACTCTCGGCACCTGAGCATTTGTCAGCGCAACGTTGGCGAGAAGCCTACGACCGTTGTTCGCAGTTCAGGGATATTGTGGCAGAAGCAACGCGTAAAGGGGAAGAAGAGTTTGTGCATCAGATGCAGGGTCGCCGGTATACATTTAAATTTAGACATCCTTATTTGTATGTCCGTATTCATGGCTTATGGCGAATTTGTCCCCCGACTTTACCAGAGTTTCTTTCGTATATACTATATTGTCATCACGATCATGTCACTGCAGGGCATCGGGGCGTGCGGAAAACCTTCCTTTCACTCAGTAAGTTTTACTACTGGCCTGGTATGAAAGCATACACAGTGGCGTATGTCGAGTCGTGTGTGCAGTGCAGAGCGTCGAAAACAATTTCTCAGAAGCCGGCGGGGCTTCTACAACCGTTGCTCATTCCTTCTCGACGATGGAGCCATGTTAGCTTGGATTTTATTACAGATTTACCTCTTACTCCGAGGGGACACGACGCTATCTTAGTAATTGTCGATTCACTTAGTAAGATGGCTCATTTTATTCCAACAAAAAAGTCGGCAACTACGGCGGAGGTTATCGACATTTTGGCGGATCGCTTAGTTCGGTATCATGGGTTTCCCGATGTCTTGATTTCGGATCGAGATCCGCGGTTTCAGTCTCAGATGTGGCAACTTTTATGTCAGCGATTTCATATAAAACGGGCGATGTCGTCCTCTTATCATCCGCAAACCGACGGGCAAACTGAGAGGCTCAACCGCACATTAGAACAGATGCTTAGAACTTATGTTCAGACTGATGAGAGCGAGTGGGAACGATTGTTACCGGCCTTGGAACTTGCTTACAATACAACCTCACATTCGTCGACGGAGCTCAGCCCTTTTGAAGTTATGATAGGGCAAAACCCAGTGACTGCTGCGGAAATAGATATTGTTGGGGACCTCGCGCCTACGGTTACCCCTCCAATGACGAAGGTATTTCAGCAGTTATGTGACAGGGCGCAAGGTCATATTATGAGAGCTAAGTGGCAACAGAAGCATTATGCGGATGCCAGAAGACGGGATGTCCACTATAAGCCGGGCGATCGAATTTGGATTAATAGTCGTAATCTACCAGGGTTGAATCAATGTTCTAAGCTGGAACCAAGGTTCAGAGGGCCTTTCAAAATTCTGGAGCGTATTGGGCAGGTTGCGTATCGTATCGAATTGCCTCCTACGTATTTGTGTCATAATGTTTTTCATGTTTCGAAGCTCGTCCCTGATCGGCCACGAGATCCGCTAATGCAATCTAAGGAAGCAGCAGTAGGGTGACTTCCGTTAACGGACAAAGAGGGTAACTCCACTGACATATATGAAGTTGATTACATACTCAATCAACGTGGGTCGGGCAAGGACGTAGAGTATCTGGTCAAGTGGAGAGGGGCTCCTGAAGATCGGGCTACTTGGGAACCGGCGTCAAACCTCACAAATTGCTCCGCCCTACTTAGGGCTTGGCGACGTTATTACAATAAAGTAAGGTCCGCTCGGGAAAATCGCATGGCTTAGTTGGTTGTGCGAGTATACTCCTCCGGTCGGTGCAATTGGTAGTAAGTCGGGTTTAATAAGGGAGGGGACGAGTGGTGCATAATTGCACCACTTGATCATGTGCAGCCTAGGTTTGTCACAGGAGAAAGGGGAGAGTAGTAGGAAGGCAGATAAGATAGCATAGGTTATAAGCTGGGGGAGGACGGCTTAGTTCCGGGCGGGGCTGGAGTACGGGAGCTAAGCAGCTTAGAGATAATAGAGGGATTTTAAAATTTTTGTCCGAAGGGGGAAGTTGTAGTGCACTAGCACTACAAGCAAGCGCTGATACTTTGTACTAAATTAG